TTTTAAACTTCCTCTCGGCAGCAGTCCCTAACATACCCCTACCGGGCATAGGCTCAGGTTTGACTCTCAAAGAAGCGACCAAGTTAGCCATGGGGCCACAAAAAGGTCGAGGATTTGTCAAAGATTTACTCAAACATGGGAAACAACAAGCCATCATGGCCGGAGTGAAGATAGGCAGGGATGTGGTGGGAAAAAGAAAAAACATCAGAAATGCTCTTTTAACCCACGGACTCAATGCGGCCAAAAATACAGGTCTATTTGCTTTCAATCGAGGAGTCTCTTTACCCTTTAGAAAGAAGAAGAAGAAAAAAGGACAAACAGGTCAAGGAAGAAGAAGAAAAAGAAGAAAGCAGACAGGGAGAGGAAGAATCCTGTTAGCCCGAGGGGGTCCTAAGAGAAAAAGGAAAAAACAAGGAGGAATTCCTAAAAGAAAACGTCATTTAGATGTGTTTGACTGAGTGAGAGAGAGAGTATAAATAGACCAGTCCAGGGAACAGAAGGTTCATTTGTGAAAACTGAATCCTAGTAGACACATCATGTTACAGCCCGATTCCTGTGCGTGTGGGATGAACAATTTACAATTGTTTCAAGTCCCTCCGACTAATATTGCTTTAGAAGACTCGAAATGGGAAGAATATTACCCCATTTCCAGTACTTTAGATTCCGACACCGCTCCCATCGAATTTGAAATCAAAGGACAAGGAGATCACTATCTGGATTTATCTCAAACTTATGTTCAAATGGTATGTAAATTTACCAAAGACGATGGAAGTAATCTGACTGGGGCAAACAGCACTTCCAGTCCCGTGAATAATATCTTACATTCCATGTTTACGGAAATCGATGTCAGTCTGAATGGAAAAATAGTGACTCCAGGGACGGATACCTATCCTTACAAAGCTTATCTGGAGAAATTATTGTCTTACCGACCCAGAACTTTAAAGACACAGACGAGGGCCTGTAGTCTGTGGGAAAAAGATACGGCAGGACACATGGACGAAGTGGGGTTAGAGGCTCTTGGTGTAGCTCAAAATAAAACCTTTGATGTAACTCCGGGTCAAGATGGTGGTGCCGACACGGTGACCATTAACCAACCCATCCTCACAGCGTTACCGGCCAATTCTAAAAACGAAGGATTCCGAAAAAGACACCAAGCTATTGCTGACAGTAAGAAAATCAGTTTGCTGGATACTTTACATTTGGATTTGTTTCAACAAGATCGATTTCTACCTAATGGAGTGGACGTCCGTTTGCGATTTAATCGAGCTAGACCCTCTTTCTACATGATGATCAAAGGAGGAAGTACAGGAAAAGTGAAAATATTGAGTATGATCTTGTGGGTGAGAAAAGTCAAACCCACAGCAGTCATGATGAATACCATTAATCAGAGTTTGAATACCCACAGAGCCAAATATCCCTTGAGAAGAGTGGAAGTGAAAACCTTTACCATTGGCCCAGGACCCAGTCTAAGATTACGGATCATCTGTTTCAAGGCCAGATGCCTAAACGTCTCATTTTAGGCTTTGTGGAGAATGCGGCCTTTAACGGAGATAAAACTAAAAATCCCTTTCATTTCCAAAACTTTGGGATCAAGAAATTAGATGTCAGTATCAACGGAGAGACCATGAGTACTCGTTGTTTTGAGCCTAATTTCAACGACGATTTATATCTGAGATCATATCTCAGTCTGTATCAAGCTCTGGGAAAATTAGGAGAAGATTGGGCTCCGGACATCACCCTAGAAGAGTATAAAAGCGGCTACACTCTATGGGGCTGGGATTTCACTAAAGATCAAGAAGCGCAATCGGATAAATTCCACATCATAGAAACAGGAAATCTGAGAGTAGAAGTGCAGTTTACCAACAATACGGTTAACACCATCAATTGTGTGGTGTATGCAGAATTCGATAACTTATTAGAAATTAACAAACAGAGAGAAGTGAGCATTGATTACAAAAAAAAAAATGGATACGGGACAATTGAGAGAAGTCTTATCCAGAGAATTCAAGAGTTCTTTTGGAGGCGTGTATCCTGTAGATTTATTACCGGATCAATTAAGACCTGGAGAAAAAGCTGTCGTGGTCAATACGGATCCTCAAGATCGACCTGGAGAACATTGGGTGTGTCTATATGTGAGCAATCCCGTGGTGGAATATTTCGATTCTTATGGATTTCCTCCCTTACAAAAAGAAATTCAAGATTTTATCCAGCGTCATGCTCAACAATGGATTTATAATCCGTATCGCTATCAAGACTGGAATACCGATGTGTGTGGACAATATTGCGTGTATTATTTACATCAAAGAGACAAGAAAAGAAAGAAAACCGACGAGTGGCTATTCCCCTTTGACCAGAGTACGGCTTTACAAAGGGACAGATACGTAGCGAATTGGTTTAAAAACACTTATCATAAATTACCTACGGGTCATGGACAAAAGTGTCAATGTTTTTATCAAAATGTATTGTAAATGAGTTGTTTGTTGTTTGTTGTTTGTTGTTTGTTGTTACAAAATAAAGAATGAAAAAAAAATCAAAATCTGTGTTCTTTGTCTTGTGTTAGTGTTTTCAGAAAAAAATCCAGTTTGAACTGGTTAGGCTAGACTGAGCTTTTGACTGTGAAGCGTGACGTCATAATCTTGAATCGGTGCCAAGTATTTACCTATGTAGTCAGCATAAAAAAAAAAAAACGTAGGTAAAACGCATGTTTTGCACACGGCCCTTATCTTTCAAGGTGAGGGGGTATAAAAACAAGGTGTTAAAGACGATCCTCCTCAGTTGGGGGGCATGTGGTTGAGTAAACGACAGTTTGGCAAACGAATTCCTAGAATATTAGAAGACATGGAGATGGATAAAGATAAATTTGCCTTATTAGAAAAGAGAATGACGGAACCTATGGAGGGGGATCACGAAGCTCCTCAAACAAAAAGAAGAATAGAGTTGAAAACCCTGGATCCGGAACCTAAGAATGAATATATACCCCTGCATGAGCCTATCAATGATCCTAAATGTCCAGACAGATTTTACAGGACAGCCATTAATTGGACTTTCACCATTAAAGAGCCTAAAGAAGAAGAAGATATAGACATGTTTCTGAGCAACCAAGATGATTTCTTCTTCGGTTTCCAGTATTTGATTATACAAAAGGAAAGACATCCCTGGACAGGAGAACTGCATCAAATCAGGGGATTCATTCAAATGAAGGAACCAGAAGGAGGACTGACTATGTGCAGACTTCATATCACTGCTGATTTTGCCATGTCTCACAGTACCCCAGAATTGGAAAGTATGTTTTACAAACAAGGAGGTGACTATGAAGAATATGGGGTTCTGAAACCTGAGGAGAGAAATAAGGAATTGGAGCCCAGAGATTGGATAGAATGGGAGATAGGAGCTTGGAAGAAACCTGAAGCTATTGCAGCCAGAGAAGCTAGGAAGAAAAAGTTCTTAAAGAATGTGAGCTGGTCAAGATGTGAATAAAAAAAAAAGATTTGAACTGTTATTTATTGTTAGATCTCAATAAAAGAAAAAAAAAATTGTGGGTTTTTTGTCATTTTTGAAAAAAATAGGTTATCTCCCTTTAACCATAGATTTTTTTCAAAACACCAAAACAAAAAAAAGTGTTGAGGGGTTTTTAAAGATTGGTAAAAATAAATACAATTTTAAAAAAGGTATAAATAGTAAACATGGTATAAAACACACCTCAGTTGTGGACTGGCTTCATTAATTATGGGTAACACCTCCAGTAAAGAACACTAGATTAAAGGAAACTGAATGGTTACTTATACAGGAGGGAGGAAAAGATATCATACCACCTCCCTTGATGGTAGAACATCCTGCAGTATTTATACCACCTCCCTTGATGGAAGAACATCCTGTAGAATATAAACCTCAGGAGGAGGAGGAAAAAGAAAACATAAGACCAAACAACAAACTCTTGGAGGATATTAAGGCTCATTATCAAAACAAACAGAAAGAAAATACAGGCAATGGATATATTGCTTACTTAAAACAAGACAGAGGTAGAATAGCCAATAATTGGATATTTAATTTAACTGGGTGCCGACAGGAAGATGTAGATCAAATCATTGGAAGTGATTATCAATACTTGATCTTACAAAAAGAAAGGCATCCAGAAACTGGAAAACTTCATCATGTGAGAGGATTCATTCAAATGAAAAACATGGTTCAAGGGAGATACATGTACAGAAAGATTCATAAATTAACCTGTTTTTGAGATGTCTTACAGCACCCCAGAATTGGAAAGAACTTTTTATAGACAAGGTGACTATGAAGAATATGGAGTTCTAAAACCTGATGTGAGAAACAAAGAATTAGTTCCAAGAGATTGTAGATTTACCTGAATAATAAAAAAAAAAAAATCTTGTTTTATTGTGTTGTTGTTGTTGTTCTATAAAAACAAGGGTGTTTTAAAAAATAGATTCATTTTACATCATGAGTCTCCAGGAGATACAAGGTGATTTACTCAACTGTGAGGTAGAAGCTATTGTTCATCAATGTAATTGTTTAACTGTAAAAGCTCATGGATTGAGTCAAAGTATTGCAGAGAAATTCCCACAAGCTAATCTCTATGCCACTCGCAGACCTCTAGGGACTAGAAATTTAGCCGTAGAAGAAGATAGAGGAATTCCAGGCACTATTAAGGTGTTTCCCTCACAAACCCCTGTGGTCATTTGTTTACTAGCTCAATGGGATTATGGAAAAGCAAGTCACCGACCTAAAAGAATTTCCACTTATCAGGATACCCCACAAAACAGAGAGCAATGGTTTCAAGCCTGTTTACAAGAAATGGGGGAAAGTTTACCTTACCAGACTTATGCTTTTCCTTACAAGATTGGGTGTGGACTAGCCCAAGGAAATTGGATTCATTATAGACATTATATTGAACAATTTGTACACACTTATGAAAAACATGTGTACATTCTTCATCATCATCATTAATTGTGTGTTTTCATGTGATGTAAAAAAAAAAAAAAAAGTACCTTTTTATCTGTCATACTCTAATGTCTGTTTTAAACAGGAGATGAAGGTCCACCGCAATCCCCATGCACTCATAAGCAGATCTCTGGTGGGGGGTCAGTAGAAACACTCAAGTAGTTTTTTTTCTTTTCCCCTGTGATATAATGTCAATATTTTAATGGAAAATTCAGAAATTTATTAGCACTTAAAGATTAAAAACTTGCTATCTTTATAGTATTGATTTCCATTATCAGATTTTATTTTTTTTATCCATTTTAAAAATATAAACATTTAAAATAATTATCTTAATAATAATAATTAAATAAATTAAAATGATATCTCATTGAAACTTTTTTTTTTTAGATTCAAGTTTTTGTTTTTGTTTTTATGTTAGTTATTTCACTGTATATTTCCCAAAGGAAGACCAACAGCCAGGCTTCACTTCACTTAGAGAATGGATTGGTTAGGAACAAAACATATCTTCCAGGTTTGAGGACTGTATAGAAAAATAAAACCCATTTTTTGTTATTATGATTTAAATTACATGAGACAATGCCTCTTATAAATGTAATACAAAAATAATATCTCTTATATATATATGGATTCCTATACTCTAATCATATTAAATGTCATTTGTAAAATGTATTTTTTAAAGACAGATTTTATTTAGGATTGACTTTTTAAATGATGACATGAATAGCAGGCCATACTTTAAGCACATGACAAAAACATTTTCTCAAATTACACAGAAATGGGCTTATTTAGCATAGCTGACATTAAACATATAGGTGAGGGATAACATAATCACAATTATAAACAATTACAAGCCTTTTTCACTGGGGTAAAATCTTGCGGAGATTCGACAACATGAATAGCAGGCCATACTTTAAGCACATGACAAAAACATTTTCTCAAATTACACAGAAATGGGCTATTTAGCATAGCTGACATTAAACATATGTGAGGGATAACATAATCACAATTATAAACAATGTGAAACAACTTTAAACGACCTACAAGGTAGATTACAAGCCTTTTTCACTGGGGTAAAATCTTGCGGAGATTCATAAATTTTTTTTTTTAAAACAATGGCGGCCTAATTTACATAAAAAATTACGGCGTACTTGGAGACATAAATTTTTTTTTAAAAAGTGACCTGGTGTTATAACTTGAGAGAAACACAATGTTTCTTTTTTTTTTTTTATTGACTGTTTAAGTAGGCATCTTTTCGAAACAATTGGGTAGCCCTTAAAAGGGCTGTTTGTTGTTTTTTTTTTTTGCTTTTTTTTTCTGGTTTTTTACTGGCTAATGTTCGTTTCTGACTGTATTTTGAAAATAAGCTCCTCCATGATCTTCCTCCTAAGACGTCGGAACTTTTAAATCTGTTTCTTCTAGTCATCCACAATTGGGTGCCCTGCGCTAAAGGGCTGGCTGAGTTCCTACATAAGGGGGCAGGTTTATTCAATCAATGTGCAGCAGCACATAACAAGCAGGCCTCTTTCAAGACCGGCTGCATACAGAAGTTATTTTCCTCAGGTCTCAGACAAAGTGCAAAGGATCCTCTGGTGGGGACGGAAAACCCCCAGCGGGGAACTCTCCCCCCCTTGGAATTCCTGGCCTGGGCCTGGGGGGCGCAGGTCGTGGGTGGTGGGTATCAAGGTGCTGCACAAAAGACGGGGGTCGCTGTAAACAGCGACCGCACACTGGTTGCCTCTGTTTCAATATAAAATTTATTTATTTATACTATTCATCGTCACTTAAACAAAGAGTGCACACAATACGTTGAGTGGTGATATTCTGGGGGGAACCCGCCCCTGGTTCCTGGCTTGGTTCTGGGGGCCAATGCATTCTGTGGTGGTCGGTGATCAGTGGCCTCTCCTGACCGTGCGGACCCTCGACGATTATTAACTTGAATCCTACAACATGTTCAGGAATAATTTCCCGATCATTGTCTAATCTTCCGGACGACGATTAAACTCTCCACTTCAATTCTTCTTCTTCTTCTTGATCTTCTCGATGAATACTGGAATCAGCTACAGAGCAGAATGACACGAGAGCTCGGAGGGTCTGTATTTATACACAATAGCAGACGATTGTGCAATCGCGGCAAAACATCAACAATCCAATCATGTGATCAAATGTGATTGGCTAACACAAAAAAATCGCTTTTGATCATGTGATCAAAAAAACGCCCCATCACAGTGACAAAGCAAAATTGAAGGGGGGAAAGGCCGAACCCGAGTGCATATAGACGTCATACAATAACATAACACTGATGTAGTATTTTTTTAAAAAAAATTTTATTTCTTATAAACTAACAAAGCTTCTAACTGTCGAATTCTCCTCCGAAATCGTATTCGATCCGCTACTAATTGCATCCAGGGACTTCTCCGGTCTTCGGGGGGTAATTCGTAGATTTGATTGAGGCTGGTATTAAAAGTCACGGATTTCCTAGCCTGTGTGAAATTTCCAGGTATTTCATTCCGTATTGAATACATACTTTCTCCATCGCATCTATGTCCTGCCACAATAAAATCACTTTGCCCGCTTGGGGATGGGTCAGGAAACTGTAAGGCTTTCCGAAATAACGGGTCAGGTTCAGTCCGTACCATTTCTGGGGCAGAATTGTTTTCATATGTCGACATAGAAAATGTATGGTAGCTAGTCTCCCCATGGTCGTCGCATGATGTGATAAGGTTAGGCATTGTAACCATAAATCCTGAAGGGTTTCCATGATAGTGCTGGCTTCCTGAAATACTTGTTCTGCCTCCGGGGGTAGAGCTTCTTGGTGATTTTGTGCCCATCGTACTAAACAATCATACCCATCTAAAATCAGAGAGTGAGTGTGTATCAGGGTTGACATGATAGTCGATTGTGAAGAAAGGACCAGATTTTTCTTCTCATTTATACCCCCAGTATAAAACGTAGGTCTATCGTATATTTTTTTTTTGCACACGGCCCCCCTCACAGGTGATGCAACAGGTATAAAAAGGTAGGTCAAAGGTGCACACGGCCCCCCTGACTTGAATCGCTGCCAAGTATTTACCTGTGTAGTCAGCATATTTTTTGCACACGGCCCTTAACAAACTTGACTCGCTGCCAAGTATTTACCTGTGTAGTCAGCAAAAAAACGTAGGTAAAACGTATTGATGCACACGCCCCACAGCAGGTATATAAAGCGGAGCTGGGATTTGACGATCAGTCTTGCTTGACATTTCGAACTTGACAGACGTGAAAAAAAAAATAGTATGGCAGAAGCAATGATGAATACTCCAGACAACCCCAACTATGTGACACCTGAAGGTTATGTAGGAGCCCCCATGCCAGAGTCACAGGATGCAGTGGGATTAGATTTGGGCATGTATAATCTTCCAGAATATGCGAATAAAGAAGATATGGGCCTATTAAATACAACTCTGGATGGGATTGTTAACATGCTGTCCGCTCTTGACAACAAGATGAATGATATGAACAACAAGGTGAGTGATCTTAACAACAAGCTGAATTATATTGGTGAGAAAGTGCGACATCATGACAACACGCTGAAATATATTGCTGAGAAGGTGGGTGATCATGAAAACAAGCTGACTGATCTGAAAACTTACAACGCCAGTGAATTTTGTTTGATTCGTGCCAAATTATCCAAATTAGAAGTAAAAGTTACTAACATGCAAGACAAAATGAGAGGAGGAGGAAGCACTTACCAGAAAAAAGAAGGACAAGGGGAATCGGGAGAAAAAAAGAAAACTAGACAGACGGATCCATGCTACAGGTGCAAAGAGTTAGGGCATTGGGCCCCAGATTGCCCCAAGAAAGATTTGTGCTACAAGTGCGGGAAATTTGGCCATTGGGCTAATCAGTGTACAGAGGATGAGGAGGATCAACAATTCGTCAAAGAAGTACAAAAACTGGAGAAAAAGCCTCAGGAACCCAAGATCTCAGGGACCCACCAGACCAAACCTCCAGTGAAAGAAGGAGACAAAAAAGAGAAAAAGGAACACAACAGAGAGAATCCAGGACCCAGCACTACTCACAAGAGGAAACTATCCCTGATGACCGATAAGGCCCAGAAGAAGAAAAAGTAAATTGTTGTATTTTTTTACTTGAATAAAATCTGTGTTCTTGTTTCTATTGTGTGTTATTGTTTTTTTTTTTCAGTTTTCGGAAAATCACTGTGGATGAGTGACGTCATAATCAAATTCTTGAGTATTTGCCAAAATCGTAGTAGCAGCGTTATGAATGGTAGTAGCAGCAGCGTAGTGTATAAGTGTATAATGTAAACACAGTGTAAACACACCCCCGTATTTAGGGGGATTATATGTACTGAATTGAACCGGCTATCCCCCACAGGGGCTGCACTCAGTTGACCCAGCTATCCCCTCCAGGGGCTGCACTCCCTTGACCCACCTATCCCCCCCAGGGGCTGCCAGTTGACCCAGCTATCCCCCCCCCCCCAGGGGCTGCACTCAGTTGACCCAAGGTGAGTCTCTAAAATATAATGATATTCTAGGGAAAATCGGCAAAATCTGCATTTTTTTTTCTGTCTGAAATTTTGTATTGCTGAGCATAAAAATTAATTAAAGCCCGTATTGGCTATTTTTGCAATTTTTGTTAATATCATTCGATTCTCCTGCTCTATTACGACATTTTAATACCAGGTACTCTTGCTTTCTTTAGTGTATGGAATTTATTACAATTTTATTTGGATTTAATATTAATAGAATGAATCTTGTTTTCATTTGAAATTTGATTTTTTTTCTAGAATAACACAATCCCAAGAAATAGCGACTTTCAGCATAGTAAAAAGAAATACACGTTTCTTCCCTGTGTTTCCCATCTAGAATTACATTTTTGGAATTATTTTATTTATGCTTCTTACATTGAATTTCATGCCTATTTCGGTCAGGAATGTTAAAACCCGAACCCGATTCTCTGTTTTCCTTTTCCATAATTACAAACTGCTTTGCGTCTCTCGCTCATGTTTCTCACCATCGTCGGAAACCCACGGGTGATCTCGTCTATACTTATCACCCGTGGGCAAACTGGCTGAAATATCGCCGTAAAATATGCTAATTTGTTGTTCTTAGTCAACCAATCAGAAAGTCGGAACTCTTCAATTTTGAAAAATAAGTTTATAACCTTGCTATTTATGGTAAATATTTTGAAGCTCGTTAAAACGTGCGAAGTTTGATTTAAAACAATGAAAGTCAATTCGTACAGGTCACTGACATTAATATCCGTCAGATATAACATAGGAGTACCTGTTTCTAACTGCAAAATGCACCGGTGACTGGATTTATCAGCTGTGTTAGTTTTTCATGTTTTTGGCAATGCCGATCATTGCATACGCAATGTAAACTGTGATTCGTTGTTTCGCATCGCGACTCTGTGATGCGGCCAATCAAATGACCCATGCATATTTAATTACATACGACGATTTTTCGGTGAGTTTGCCCACGGGTGATAAGTAAAGACGAGATCACCCGTGGGTTTCCGACGATGGTTTCTCACATGCTCTTAAATAATTTATCGCCATCCATTTCAAAAATAAAACAACTCAAATCGGATATTTTCAAACATCTCTTTAATACATGTATAATGCACATATGATGCAGGTACACATGGGACATTTCACAACGTTTTCACTTACGCTTCCGTCTTGATGCGCAGATCAA